GTGGCCCAAGATCACCAGCTCAGCAAACAGCAGTGCTGAGACTCAGGTGGCAATTTGCTGACTCCACAGCTCTTAATCTTAATCAGTAGGTAATAAATTATAAAATTTACTGTATTCTTGGGTCTGAAAATTAATGGATATTCCCATGATGGGCATGTGAAGAGAAGAGGGTGTCTACTCCTGGTCTGCCGCTGAATTATCCTGCAGAGGCTGGGAACTGAGAGCTGGCAGGTCATCTCTGGTTACTGTCAAGGCCAGCTGGACCTGAGAATTCCTGGGGGTAGCCAACATTCAGTTTCCACAACCACCAGGACGCCCCTGGGTGTAACCTGAGGGCACGCTGTTCATCCTTTGGCAATCTCTGACAGATGGTACCCACTGCAGATGCTCACAGCGTCTGCCCTTTGGCAAAGCTTCTGGGGAGGAGGTCTAGGAAACACGCATGTCCTCCCAGGACCCCCTTCCATCAGGCTACTACCCTGCATTTGTCCGGCACTTAATGCCCCCAACACCGTCACACTACCTTGTCCTCACTGGAAACTCACTGCAATCCAGTTGGGTAGGTAGCCCAGGATTACCAGCATTTTATGGATGGGACCTTGAGGTCTGAGTACTTACATGGCCTTCCCAAGGTCAACAGCTCATGGTGACAGAGGAAAACAGACCCAGGGTGCCCGCTGCTCAGCCAGGCACCAGACTTTACAATGCAATGTCCCTCCACCCACTGGCTGCAGAAAATGACGAGTGTTGTTAAAGCAGGATTGGGATGCCCTTGAGTGGTGTTTTGGCCAAGAAAACAGAGTTGCTGAATCTTGTCTCAGGAACCGGCCACTCCCTCCCAATCCTGATCCAGGGAAATGCACGCCAGAAGGGCAGGGGTGATGGAGAAAGCAAACGCTGTTGGCCGGGCCCTGTTCCCACATTGCCTGCTTCCAGCTCAGCACGTGGCCCCGAGGACAGCTCTTCCTGAACACGGCTAGGCACCCTGGGCCAAGGCCAAACAGGGCTGCAAAGGGCACCAGGCGCAGCTTCCGGGCACATCACTTGTACACAGCGGGGAGAAATTTAAATCCGTTCATATGGAAACAAAGCCTACCACTCAGAGGAAAGCCCCTGCAGGCTGGGGCTGGGTGTCTTGCTTCTGGCACACCCCCTGCCATCCCTGAGGGTGCTTCTCGCCTTGTAGGTAGGCAGGGAAATACATGTAGAAAGAACGAATCATCCATCAATGTACTACGAGGCACATCATAAAACTACAAAACAAACTCCGGATTACTCGAGGTAAGTGGACGCTTGAGATGGGAGGCCAGGCTGAAGTCTCCCTTTACCTTCCGTTGCCTTTAACACCACGAATCTCTCACTCACATAGCGAGATTACACAGCACCCGCTACGCTTCTGGCACTGTCCTAACTGTCCGACGTGTGCGAGTCACTTAGTACACTGAAATCCCGGGAGATCATCGTTATTATTATTCCCTTTACAGAAGAGGAGGTGGAGGCAGACACGCTGCCCAGGGTCCCACAGCTAGTCCGTAACAGCCATCATTTGAAAGCAGCCAGTGTGGCTGCATGCAAAAATTATGCTTTTAACTGCTGTCACACTACATGGCTTCCCTTTAAAGAAAAATGTGAGAAGCTCTAAGCTACAGACCAGGCTCTGTTTTACAAGCTGATTCAATGGCCAGTTAGCAAAAACTAGTAATTTCATCTTTTACCATCCTTAGAGGGGCCAGTACTATCCCCACTTTATGGAGGAGAACCACAAGGTCAGAGAGGGTGAGCAGACTGCCTGAGATCACACAGTTTACCAAGCCACAGCGTTAAAACTAGAAGAGCAATTTTCTGAGTGCAGAGCCCTTGATTTTCATCACTATTGCTATGTAGATATCACTTAGATGAAAATAAGATCACCTAAATTAAAACAAAATGATTAGTGGGGCTTTCATTCAGCCCTGGCCTGTGATGCCTTTGAAAACATTAGAAAGAGGCGGTGGGCCTCTCCCTGCAGAAACCACCCAGGCTGCACAGCAGCTCCTGGTGGCTGACCCCTGGGCTAGGTCAGGCCTCTGTGGTCCCTGAGCCCCCCACCTGAGCAGTAGAATCCTCACACAGCCCTGTGTAACAGCCGTGACTCAGCTTTGCAGAGACCAGAGCAAGGCAGCGCATCATGATTTGGAAATTCTCCTTCAAGGGGCCTTGAATTGCATCTTTGGCAACAGCAAAACCAAGCCATCTAGTTGACGTCAGCTACCTTCTCATCACTCCTTTCGGTCCTTGCATGTTGTTGTTCCAGGTCTTTCCCTGCCCCTGGGGCTGCCCCGAGGGGTCTCCCCATCCGGGGACTTTCTCACTGTCTCTGGGAACCGGGGCCATTGCCATCAGAGAAGAATGTCCACTCTGAGGCAGGCCCTGGGTGATGGGCCCAGCAGTCTCTCTCTGAATGTGGAAGGCCCCCCAAAAGGATGACTTTGATTGTTAAGCCACTTTTGGGTCCCACCAACATCAGATGGACTCAGTTAGCCATGGATGCATCCATCTTGCTCAGCGCTTAAAACAGCTCCTGTGGGGTGGGGTTACCCCAAAAAGGTGTCTTCTAGCCTCTCATGCACCTGCTCTCCTTCCTGGCAACCACCCTGTCCACTTCCTCTGATGCATGCTTGCCCACGTTCCAGCCTGCAGGACACTCCCAAGGACATTCTGCCACTTCATTCTTTATCTGGTACCCCACTGAGCCCCAGGGAGTTCTTGAGATCCAGCGGCTCCCAGGAATCTCACTCTGGTACTGACAGAGCAAATGCTCTGATACTTGGGTCACATCAAGGTATGAGGGGAGACCACAAGCCTGTGGTAGATGTCAACCTTCTCATGGCTGAAGGTAGGAAACTAACATTAAGAACTTGTGAACTTAACTAAGAAATTTAAAAATGTTCAGGGAAAAGTTTACAAGAGCAGGTCTGACTTATGCTAGGCACTGGGCATTATACTAAACATTTAAAAAATAATTTAATTTCATCTTTTACCATCCTTAGAGGGGCTAGTACTATCCCCACTTTGTGGGTGAGAATCACAAGATCAGAGAGGGTGAGCAGGTGGCCCAAGATCACCAGCTCAGCAAACAGCAGTGCTGAGACTCAGGTGGCAATTTGCTGACTCCACAGCTCTTAATCTTAATCAGTAGGTAATAAATTATAAAATTTACTGTATTCTTGGGTCTGAAAATTAATGGATATTCCCATGATGGGCATGTGAAGAGAAGAGGGTGTCTACTCCTGGTCTGCCGCTGAATTATCCTGCAGAGGCTGGGAACTGAGAGCTGGCAGGTCATCTCTGGTTACTGTCAAGGCCAGCTGGACCTGAAAATTCCTGGGGGTAGCCAACATTCAGTTTCCACAATCACCAGGACGCCCCTGGGTGTAACCTGAGGGCACGCTGTTCATCCTTTGGCAATCTCTGACAGATGGTACCCACTGCAGATGCTCACAGCGTCTGCCCTTTGGCAAAGCTTCTGAGGAGGAGGTCTAGGAAACACGCATGTCCTCCCAGGACCCCCTTCCATCAGGCTACTACCCTGCATTTGTCCGGCACTTAATGCCCCCAACACCATCACACTACCTTGTCCTCACTGGAAACTCACTGCAATCCAGTTGGGTAGGTAGCCCAGGGTTACCAGCATTTTATGGATGGGACCTTGAGGTCTGAGTACTTACATGGCCTTCCCAAGGTCAACAGCTCATGGTGACAGAGGAAAACAGACCCAGGGTGCCCGCTGCTCAGCCAGGCACCAGACTTTACAATGCAATGTCCCTCCACCCACTGGCTGCAGAAAATGACGAGTGTTGTTAAAGCAGGATTGGGATGCCCTTGAGTGGTGTTTTGGCCAAGAAAACAGAGTTGCTGAATCTTGTCTCAGGAACCGGCCACTCCCTCCCAATCCTGATCCAGGGAAATGCACGCCAGAAGGGCAGGGGTGATGGAGAAAGCAAACGCTGTTGGCCGGGCCCTGTTCCCACATTGCCTGCTTCCAGCTCAGCACGTGGCCCCGAGGACAGCTCTTCCTGAACACGGCTGAGAATTCCGCCTCATTCCTCAAAGGATGAGCTTACTACTCTGGGAGGCCAGGGTCCACAGCACAGGCGGTGAGAATAGCTGTTTTGGGGGCCTGGTGGAGATGGGGTAGGACTGACCTGGAGCCTGTATGCGACTCAGTGCTCACCCCAAAACCTGCCGTTGCTTTGGTATCTATGTCCTGAATGGGTACCAGCTTCTGAAAATGCCCCTTTTACAAATGGCCTGTTATTTTCCCACATGAAAGTAAGTGAAGTACATGATAGAAAAATTAGAAGAACAAAGAAAAAAGTCAGTAACACTGGAAAACAGCTATTAACACTTGGATTTTCCTTCTGTCATGTTTCTCCACAAACGTATGCCCACCATGGTGTAAAAATGAGGATCTGTCTTCAGGATGCTCTACATCTTTTTCCATTGGATATCTCAAATCTTTCCCATATAACTAGAACTTCTTCAAAAATATTTTAAATGGTTGTACAAACCTTCCTTTTAAAATCAGTCTTAGCAATTGTTTCCATTTTAAGGATCATGTCCTGCTATGACATCAATGCACAGAAATCTAACTAAACTCCTCGCTGCTTCCTAAGGAGAATTATCAGGTCCAAAGGTTTGTGCCTTTTATAGCTCCTCAGCATGAAGCTCGGCTCTGGAACGCCAGAGCTGCCCTAAGAGCTCTGACCTCCCTGAGATCTCCGCCTTCTTAGTTTCTAGTGCCCAAAGTTTTATGCAGGCCTGGGGGTCTCCACTGATGAGACAGAAGCCCTCACTGTTACCCTGTTGGGGTCCAATGCCACTCAGCTCCCACTGAGACACACTTAGAGCTGCAGAGTCCTGGGTTTCATGAAGCACAGAAATGATGAGCTCAGCGGGAAGAACACAAGCTTTAAAAGCCCCGTCTCCACAGGCAGGGTGGGCACTGGAGGGGCACTTACTTGATAAGTAGCGATCGTTTCTCTGTCCAAGGTCCGTGTCACGGAGACGCTGCCCGTGTTCTCATTGATTCTGAAAACTCCTTTAGGGTCTTGATCCACTCCCTTTCCAGTGAGCCGGAACTTGGACCCTTCTGGTCTGTCACTATCGACTACCTGCTCAGAGAAACAGAGTGACATTTAAGACTGTGGCTGGAAAGCACGGGGAAAGCACATGACAAACATGCCTGATCACAGGTGCCAACACAGAGGCGCTGGGTGAACTTGATCAAAGCTGCACCATCAAAAACAGCATCATTGTTTAACACCTTATATCCTAATATGCAAATCACTGCAGACTTACAGCTAGGGAAGCTTTCCAGCACTGGGGTGACCTATAGGGACGGATTTAAAAGGGAAATGACTTCAGGAGGCTCAAGGTTGGACAATTTTATTTATTTTCTTAACTCCCAAGAAACAGACCTTTTTTTTCCCTGCAAGTAGACCTAATAGGCAATGAAAACAACATCATATTTACTTGGCAGTCCTATACTGGGCAGGCACTGGTTGCATTTCTAAATATTTACAAGTATTGGTCACCACGAGTGCCACCTGCCCGTTTGCTTCTACCACATCCTAAGCACAGGGCGGAGAAAGTATTTTACACACATTTTTTAAAAACCTCACTCCAATGCTGGGGCCAGGGGAACATTATTCATACTTAATAGATGAACCCACTGGGATGCAGGGAGATTAAACAAGCTGGTCATGGTCACGGCTATTAAAGAGACGGAGGTGGGATTCAGAACTCATCTTCCCTTTCTCCAGAGACATTGAAGTGCAAGACTGTCATTTCTGAGTTTACGACAATTCCCTATAGGTTGTCAGCCTGGATTTGACATTTGAAGAATAAATTCAGAAGATAAAGATGGAGGAAGGTAGTTCCAGGCAGAGGGAACAGCACAGACAGGCAGCAGGCAGGTGGGTCATTAGCACAGTTCGAGAAGAGGTGAAGTTAGAGGTAATTAGGGGCCAAACTGTGTTTTCTTTTTGGCATTTGAAGATGTCCAACTAAAGAGAAAACAATTATTTGCATAAGTTGGCTTTAGAGTTTTCCCAAGTATTCATCGATGTTTAATGTTACTTTATCATCTATATCTTTGAACATTAATTCGATTAAAACAATGTAAAGGTCACAAAGATGGTAGACATTCAGAAGAGACAGCTAAAAGAAAGCTGATACTGACCCAGCTGTAACAATTTACAAAAGAACGGGCACCTTACTGAAACATAACCAGCTTTGCCTGGAGGTTTTGGTGGCGGGACTAAACCATCTCGTAGTGGAATCGGACTCCCCCAGAGGCCATTTCTGCAGCCACCAAGCCTGCAATTCTGATGGCTGCCACCAGGTGGCAACGGTGCCTAAGGCAGCATGAACCTCGTGGCACGGTTCCTCTGCCATGACCAGTTGAGTCAGAGCATGACATGGTTCCTTATGGCAATTCAGATTTCTTTTTTATTTAGAATGTTCTATTAAAATACACTAAGAGTTTTGATTAAATACCAATGACCTCTCCTTGCATTTTTAAGAATAACGCAAAGTATCATCTAAAGCAAAACTGAAGATAAGGTGTGTGATATTGTCCAATGAAAATAATTTTTAATCCTTGCTTGACTTGATTGGACCAGCTCACCCACAGCCCTCTGCTTGGAAGCCCCATGAGGTCAACAGCCTCAGCATTCCAGGCTTGGCTCTTTGGATCTCCGTTTCCTTATCTCTAAAAGGACAACACTACTTATTTCCCTGGTGGTTGAGGGTTTAATGAGCTAGCGTGTGCAAAGGATGCTTCCTGGCACGTAGAAGGATCCCCTTGAATTGTGGCTAATGATCACAATGCTGAGAGTGATAATCACAACAAAATCATGCTGTTGTTGTCACCGGGTAAGACTGACACTTCCAGGTATAAGAAAGCATCTTAGCCATAATATTTAAAAAATCCCTTTCTAAGGGATCAAACTTCCTTTTAAAAAACAAAATGCACAAACATCTCTGGTGTGAGAAGAGAAGGCTCTCGAAAGAGAACTACTGGCGGAAGGGGCAGCTGAGCAAAGTCTGCTCTTCCTTGTCACCTTCCTGTTACCTGTCACTCCCCTTCCTGGCACCCTCAGCCCAAGTGTGGGTTAAATAAAGCCTCTTCCTCATGCTTTCCTGAGCACCCATGAGACAGACAGGTCCTCTCCAGGGGGCACAGTGACCCGGGAGACACTCTAATGGGAAATGAGCATGGGAACCCTGCAAGGGCCAGGAAGCTGCCACCAGACGGACTTCCAACCCCTCAGCCCACCGTCATGGCTCAGGGGTGAGGGTCCGCCAGGCGCGGCCTCTGCTCTGTTCTTTCCTGCCCTTTCCCTTCTCAGAAAGGGTTGGCAGTTCATTGCCCCAGACCATCTGGAAGAATTACAGTAGGCGATGGTCTTCAAAGGTCTCTTGGAGCAAATGTTGCCACCCTCCCATTGCCCCACCTGCCACTCAACACTGAATTCGAGACTCAGCAATTCTCAGGGTGACACTTCCTCCTGCCACCAAGCCAGGATCTCTGTCAGAGAGCTTGAGCCAGTTGGCCTCTGAGAAGTACGGGGCTTGGAGAGAGACCCTGGTTAATCAGCGCTGGCTGCCAGGTTTAAATGACTTGTCCCCGGGGGCAGGAACAAGCCTGACGTGGGCACTTCTGCTTAGCACAGCACAAGCCCTCCCTCTCAAGATTTTTAGTTTAAAGGCCTGGCTTTTCACACAGCTGTGGAGCCTGCTCTCTGGTCCCCAGAGCTGTGACCACTTTGAATGAGCCAGCACGGCCACACCAGGTCCTGGATCCCCGAGCAGTGAGCAGGCCCAGGGAAGGGAAGGCCATCTTTCTCCCTAGAACAGTGGTCTCAAGATGTGGTTCCCTGGACCAGCATGGGCATCACCTCCTTAGAAATGCAAGTTCTCAGGCCCTGCTCAGGCCCTCTAAATCAGAACCCTGGGGGCAGGGCTGGAAGTCAGGGCTTCACCCAGCCCCCTGGATAATTCTGATGCACACCCAATTTGGAGGACCACTGGTTTAGACAGATTTCAACACCATCCACGCTCATTATAACCCGTGCTGTGTTCCACCACTACCGTTTGGAGCCCTCTGCTGAAAAAAGGCTGGGTCTATTTCTATCTTTTTTTCTAGACCTATTTTAAACATGTAACATTATTAGGAGCTCTTTTTAAAAACTTGTTTTCTAGAATGACAGTAAAGTGGAGTTGGTATTTCTCTAAGACTGCATCTCTGCAAGAGTCACACCCCAGGGCTTGGAGGACCCTGGAGAGGAAGGCAAGGGAGTGGGGGTTGCCTCTAGGGAAGTTCAGGAGTCTGGGCTCAAGTTAGATTTGGGATCGCCCATCACTGCTGAGGCCCCCTGGTCTCTAGGAGGGCACTCCCAGGGGCTGCAGCCCATCCTCATCTCCCTGAGCTAGGGAGATGGGGGGTGTGCCATAGCCACACCCCAGGCCTCAGCCACATTTCAAAGCTTTTCCATGCAAGTCAGGTGTGTTTCCAGAAGGCCTCTGTGATACTACGTTCCCCTCCTGAAAATCAGCAGGTGCTACTCCCAGACAGCTGTGTGGGTGGGCAGCCTGCCAGCTGTGTTGGAGGCATGGCACAGCTGGGGCCTGAGCCCTCTGCACCCAGGGGGGTGCAGGAAATCCTGGGGGCTGGAGCAGGTGGTGACTGCTTCATCTGAGTTCCAAAGGACATTCTTGCTGCATACAGTGGCACATTACGGATAGAGCCACAGCCCCCCTTGAATCTCCGTGGTAAGGCCCGTTGCCACCTCTGCCCTCGGTTGCAAGCAGCCAGTGATACCAGGTTGTATGTGTTCGTAAGGTATTTTCTGTGAATTTATATACATACATATGTACTCATAGAATATATAGCAGTTTGGGATATTTTTACATAAAAAGGATCATTCTGTACAAATTATTATATAATTTTTCTATTCAATGTGGTTGGGATCTTTTAAGTTTACATATATAAACTTTTGGGGGGTTTATATTTACAAAAAATTTGCAAAGGTAGTACAGAATTCCCATATACCTTTCATCCAGTTTCTCCAGTGTTAATTCCTGAAATTAACATTGATAGATGACTATTAATTAACTAAACTCCAGATTTTGTGTATTCAGATTTCACCAGTTTTTCTGCTTCTCCTCTTTCTGATCCAGAATCCAGTCCAGAGCCCCACGTGGCCCTTAGATGCTCTGTGTGTATTCAGACTTTTACTTAATGGCACTGACATCAGTTTTATTTTTTCCTATGGAATGTTTACTCACTATATCAAAATTACAGTTGTCAATGCCATGTATTACCTTTACTGTAAGAGCTTCTAGCCCTACCCTCTGCCGATCTCCAGTATCTGGACTTGAACTTAGATCTCCGCTAGAGGTTTTTGCCTGTTTTGTTCCCAGGGCCTTCAGTACATGGGTACACAGTCAGTTTGCAATACATGTTTGAGTACCAAATAAGCGGATGAATGCTCTCTGGCTTCCATGTTTCTGATTTCTCTTTTTTCCCATCTCCTGTCCCAGTTGCAACTAGAATGGCCATTTTAAAATGCAGACCCACATCTGACCAAGACAGTTCCCAGATTAAAACTTTCACTGGCTCCTATTGCTCCCCGGGTTAATTCCGGGGGCCCTCATCGATGGGTCTCCACCTGCTTCTCCAATTCTAACTTCTGCCACAACCCACCACAGGCCTTCTGAACCCTGCCCACTTTCTCTGGACCTAGGTCAGCCGGACTCCCGTCCCCTGTCCTGTTTGCTGGAGACCCCTCCTTGTCATCCTGGACTAAGCCCCAGGAACCGCCCACTCACTGAGGCTCCTCCTGCACCCTCCTGCCCCCTTCGTGGAGCCTGAGCCTTGCCCTCTGGGCTCAGCCCTGCTCACCAGCAAGGTCTCCCAAAGCACAGAGCAGACGGCCCCTTTGTGGGTGGTGGTAATTGTCCCTTGGGCTATTTATTTCTTATTCCCTTGAACATTTCCTGGCTTTGGATCATAGAAGACACTTGATTAAAACACCGAGTAAAGAAGTACAATTGAATTTGCACATTTTCATAGGATTATAAAATGCTCATAAACTGAAATTCAAAA